CTTTTTCACACTACTGGGAACTTGGGATGGAAGAAGCAGGGAAAACCCAGCTTTGCCTGACTGCACTCAGCATTTGAAAGGAAAGTCCCCATCCAGCACTGTCCAGTACTGGGACTTGAGTTTAGACCTAAAGCCCAGTGTTCTGGAAGAAAGGAAAGCTTTGAGGGACTGCATGAAATAGCTGGTGTCTGCTGTGGGAAAGACATTAATTTAACTCAGCTGTTTTCTTTCTCACAGATCTGCTAATTCAAAGCAAGGCTCCCATGAAACTCCGTGGGTTTTCTTCCTACCTATTCCCATGCAGAAAGGCTGGGCTGCATCCCTGTATCTCAGAAGGAACAGCTTCGCTGAAGTCATGGTTGTCCTGTGATCTTCCTTCCAAATCCTCTTTTTCTCCACAGAGCATCCAGAGCAGATGACAACCATGTCAAGTTTGATCCCTTCTCCAACTAAAAATTATGCCCGTTTTACGACTGCTGTGTACCATTTCCCATCCCCATGTCTGGTCTGCACATGAGCCTGTGCGAGTCTGTGTCCACTAACAAGGTTTTGTGTGGCACAACCGAGTTGTGCACCTTGCTTAAAGGTGAGCTGGTCTGTACTGGCACATCTGGCTCCCATCTGCTGCTGGCTCAGGCCACAGGAGGAACAAAGCAGGTCACAGGGTCTAATCCAACGCAACCCTGGCCACCAAGAGGCCTCTGAGAGCCGGTCACAGCTGAAATCCCTTTCCTACAAGCAAGCAATGCCCTCTATTACGCACACAGTGCTCTGTGTAAGAAAGTGACTGTTACAAAATTACCAGATAAAATACATTCGTCCTTTCCAATCTGTTAATAGCCTGATATAAAAGCCAGAACTTCTCCATATATGACCAGCTACAGGCTGAAGATCAGGTAGGAAACAAGCTGGAAATAGCATCCAGACAGTGTTTTATTATACTTCCAAGTGCAGATTTTAGCTGCAGGCAGAGAAATAACACATCCCTCTTTTAGGTAATTATACAAGAGGTATTGTACATTAGTATGAAAAGTAACAAAAGTCAACAATAATCTCCTCCCAAAACCACGGGAAAGGGACTAGCATGAAGTAAAACATTTGACGCCTGGAGCGGTTTGCTATTCCCAGAGAAGCTAAGAGACAGGAAACTCAACGAAATACATGCTTTGTTGCCCTCTACTGTTGGCTTGATTAAGATGAAAAGCAAATTTTTCCCATAGCTTCACCCCTGTGAAGCGCACGAGACAGGAGAATCCAAGAAGTAGGATGGTATGCGATACACGGGAGGGAAAACCTGGGACCAGGAAGAGGCTTCTTCTGCATTAGGAGTGCTCAGAAGAAAACCTGCGGCCTGCACTAGCACAGGGCACCTTTCCACAGGGAGCAGCTTGGCAAGGCCACGGGAGGCAGGGGCAGAACTCAGCAAGCCTTGGTGCCAGGACCACGGCTGAGTGCTAGACCGTGCCAGACGCTGTGAGCCCAAACGCCAGCGCAACTTTCCAGGCTGTTTTACCCTTCACTAGCCCATTGTACTGCGTCTGGCTGAACTGGAATTGGTTTTCCCCTACAGCAGCCCTCACGGTGCTATTTTATGCTGGGAGCTGGCAGGGTGTTGATAGCACCCTGGGGTTGTGGCTACTGCTGAGCAGTGCTTACACAGCACCAAGGCTCTTTCTGATATTTCCCCCGGTGGGACGGGGTGGGCAAGATCTTGGGAGGGGACACAGCCAGGAGAGCTGACCCGAACTGACCAAAGGGATATTCCATACCATGTGACGTCTGCTCAGTATAAAGCTGGGAGAAAGGAGGAAGGGGGTCGGGTCACCCTTGGTCCTCCGAGGCAACCACTACGCGTATGGGAGCCCTGCTTCCTGAGAAGGCCCGACATCGCCTGTCCATGGGAAGGAGAGAACAAATCTGTTTGCTTTTGCTTCCGCACGCGGACTTTTGCTTCGCTTTGCTTATATTAAAACTGCTTTTGTTTCACCCACAAGGGTTAGTTTATCTTCTTTCCCCTCTTTACCCTATTGAGAAAACAAGGGGAAAGGCGGGGGGGGGGGAAGTGATAGAGCGACTTGGTAGATACCTGGCATTTAGCCAGAGTCAAACCATCACACCCATGAAGCACAGACAGGATTGTCACACACCAAGGGGAACAGAACAGTTTCAAAGCGTGGAAAATGTTACAGCTGCATGTTAGACTTTACTTCTGGAAACTTTAAGAGTAATTATAAAAATTAAAAAGTAACAGCAATAAAGATACCCCAGCAGAGAAGGGTACCGAGTCCCATTTACCCTTAGTTGGTAGAAACCGACCTTTGTGTCAGTTTTGCAAGTTGTGGCAAATTTTGACACGTAGGAGATGCAAGCTGTGTGCCAACTACCACCATTGCTCAGCTGCCTCGACTGTGAATTAATTGTGCATCGGTGCAAACACCTGAACCAGCTGTGTCAGCCAGCCTGGAGTCGGCATATGGCATCAGTGTGCGCTTCCCTGTGGGACCTGCCAACCCAGGTCAGCGCTCCAGCGGACCGCAGCACTGCCCCCGTCCCCTCAAACAGTTCTAACTGCTAATTTGCCCACATGCCATTAGCTGTGGGTTTCCTTTATTCACTTTATTATATTTCCTTTTAGCCTACAAAATCAAGAGTTGACTTCACGCGACCTTGATGGCAGTTTCTTACTGAAGTGCTTACTCCTGACTACACAAAATACTGAACAGCTCATCTCCACTGTTCAGACAAAAACCCGAACAGCCATTCCAGAAATGGGGAAAAAAAATAATCAATGCTGATAGGAAGGGCAAAAAACCCAAACCCAAATCTAAATGCTACCCTCTGAGCCTGTAAAACACCAACAGGAAGAAACAGCACACACGGCCTCTAACAGGCTGGAGCAGAAGACACATGCAAGCAAAGCAACTCTTGGGAATCTTACTGTAAGCAGGAGACTGTACACACCCAACACACTGCAAAGGAACAGCTAATCCCTGGAAAAATGTTAAAGGCACAGTGGTGCTTCCACCAACATCTGCACTTGGTACTTGCCAAAGTAACTCAGCCTCCTATTCATGGAACAGACAATTCCCTCGTGGCTCCCTGCTCTTTGCTTTCAGGGTGGGGAACAAAAAAAAAAAAAAAAAAAAAAAAAAAAAAAACCAGTCCATGGAAACAGTAAGTGCTTTGTGAAGTCGAAAGGTTAACCAGGTGTCTATTACAGAAGAGCAGCTCTCAAGGAAGGTCCCACACCTCCTTAGGGAGCAGCTGTTCCTAGCTGTGCTTTGTCTTGCGAGGGCTCCTCGTATTGATAGGAAGCAGCTTCCCCTTCCTGGCAAATGCGATGGAATGTGGATGGATGTGTGGTGAATATGCAGTTAATAAACACTGTCCTTCAGGAGGTAACACCCTCCTCTGCCACCCTGCTCAAATTCAGCAAGATTTGAGCTACTCCCAACTGTAACGCTACCCTTAGTGCTGTTAGAAACAGAGAAGAAAAAACCCACTTGAGCCCTATAAAAAATTCCACTGGTCCCCACATAAAATCAAGCTTCGATCTGACAGGCAAGGACCTGCTGTACAAAATCACTGAGTTTTTGTAGCTTCATGGCCACAGAGAACGATGTCAATTCAGCAGGACAACAGCAAAGGAGCAGTTTCAGCCCCACCTCGCTGATAACACACACACAGAATCAAAGCAAACTCGGACTGCAGTATATTGGCACGCAGAAGGTCAGACACACCAGTACAACACAATGCCTAAAGTCTCATGCAGTAGGGAAGTCAGGAATGAAATCAGTTGCTTTATTTCACATCAACAGGAAATGTAATTTGAATACAGCATTTTAAAAACTAGATTTAATCAAATGCATTTAGAAGAGAATTCACAATTTTCTGTACACAAATACAAGTATCTTCAATAGAAATTCCCTACATAAAATTAAAACATGAGATGTGGTACAAATGAGCAACAAAAAAAAAAAATCTCCCCCTGCCTGCAGACAGGTCCCCAGAGATGACAATATGACTGAGAAACATCTAAACCAAAGCTCTTGGTAAAGGAGAGAAGAGTGCAAGCATGTATTTCACTAAATGGCCACTTTGCAAAGCTACAAACCGCCCTCGTGACACCGCAGCAGCCACAGCTGGAGGGCTCATTGTTAGGAAGCATTTGCTAAAGGCGCTGCCTTCAGCTTTAAGGCTCTTCCCCTACCCTGCACCACTGCCAGGACAGAGAACATGCTGGCAGAATGGGTTTTTCCTCCTGCACACCTCTACCACCTCCCTGAACAACACCACAAGGTGAGGAAAATTTGGTGTTGCCACAGCTGCTCCTCCCCGATCTTGAGCAGGATGCACGTTTATTTTCCTCTCTACACTTTTAATCTGTGGGCAGATGCTGCATCATGAAGGTTACTGTGCAGCTGCCTATCCCCAACCGCTGGCCAGCACAAGGCAGCAGCGGTCCCAAGACTCTGCAGCAGAGATCAAGGGCGCTTGCACGAGCGAGTGCGACGCACCGACCTGGCCCATTTTCAGTATTAAGATGGAAAGGGATGAGACGTGTGTTCTACCAACCTGCTCATTTACACTGAGGCAAATCAGGAAGAAGTCTCATCACCTGCTCCACAGGCGACAGAATTATCACGGAGAACAGTCGAGGGCAGACAGGAAAAAAAACCCATAAATTCTTCCTCCAGCACAGCCAAGTCCAGAAGAAAATGCCTGTCCACATGCCCAGCTGCTAAAACCATCCTGACAGAGGTGGGTAATTCAGTTCATGCCTGACAAATGGGGAGGGCCACAGCCTTTTTGTTGGTCCTCTCCCCACAAGTGTGCTTCATTTTGAGACCAAGTTTATTACCAAAAGACAAAAAGCAAGGGCTGGAATTTATTTGTTCTAAGAACCTCAACATGTTAATAGGGAAATTTTCTTTTAATATTTTCACATATACTTTTAAAAACTTTTTATATATACTTTTATATATACTTTATATACTTTTAATAACCGGAATGATACCTTCAAGTCGTAAATCAGATTGCACACTTCATAAGGTACCTTATCATCAGTTCTGTTGGGTTTGTGTTTAGAAACGTTATTATATAAAAAACTTAATAACCAGTCCATAAAATCTGTTTCATACTGTTTTAACAGGTCCAACTTGAAAGAATTTGAATACACCATAAAACATTAAAATGTATTTCCAAAGTTCTTATTGCTTTTCTGAACACCAAAGAGCCCCACGCACACAGGTTTGAAGAGCAAAGTTCTTAGATACAAGATGTCATCACTCTCATACTATTGTAAAGTACCATTAACATTTCCAGGTAACACTCAATCAGCAAGAGTAAATTTACAAACATACTGTAGTGCTTGAAACGAGGAAGCTTGCTAACACAAGCAAGAAAACCTCAGCAGGAAGTACAGAAGCAAAAAGCCTACTATTGTCATAGTTTGTGCAAACTCCTGCAAACTTTTCACAGCCAGAAATTCATTAAGGGCATGATATCGCTATCTACTTTAAGAACTTGAAATTATTTTGACTTTTTTTTTTTTTGGTAAGCTGTCCCTTTTTAGAGAGACATGCACTGTGGTGGAAATAATTCATGCTGCTATTTCACTTGAATCTGAAAATTCACACTTATGTTTCAATACACTGATATAGGAACTGACTAGGAAATACAGATAGCATGGATTCTGAGCAGTTCCTGCAGAGGAAGTCTACCCTAGGGACTCAGAGCTGAGTCCCCTGCACAATAAATACTACATAAAGCTGACAGAGCAGTCTTAAGCGGACCTAAATATTGCAGGGAGCTTGTAAAGTCCTTTTATTCTAGAGAGATTTTTAGCTAGCGGACAACAACAGAATATCAACCCGGTCAGGAAGTACCAACCAAGAATTTAAAAACACAAGTGATATCTCAGAAATCCTGTATGCTAAATAAAGCTGAATATGCTTCATTACAGATATGTCTCAAGCTATTTTCAGGACAGACAAAAGTTCACTGCAGAGATGAAGAGGTTATCTGCTTTAAGAAGCAGGTTCAGGAGAACTTATCATCATACCACTTCTGGATCCAAAGAAAATTAGCAATCAATTTAAAACTTTTGAATTTCATCCAGTTGACACTTCATTCCACTCATCACATGAGGTTCTTTTTCTGTCCCGCTTTAGTTTCTCTTTCTACATGGTTAGTTGAAACACAAAAATAAAATGAAAAATCTGGGCTCAGTGATTTTAGTATTTAAATTAAATGCACCTGCCTTCAGTCCTTTTATCAAAGGAACTGGATGCAAGTTTAACAAGCAGCATTGGAGATCTCAGAAATAGAGATCCAGGGGTACAGACTTGGCACAGAACACAGCATGAGTTTTCACTATCAGAAAAACAGAAATGAGAATTACGATTAATCAGATGCATCTTCTAAAACATCAGGATAATGCCTGCAGATAAACATAAAATGCCACAGGGCAGCCTTCTACAACTGTGTTCAGGGCAAATGAATTCTAGTCACAGAAATAAGTAAATGCCCCTAAAATAAGGAAATGTCATAATGAAGAGGTCTCTATGAGTTTGTGACAATTTCATAGGTTTCTGGCAATCCCTGTGTCAAATGTAAGGCCTCAATTCCTCAGGTAATACATGTATGTAATAATTTATCAAAATATTATTAGGCTAAGATTTTCAAATTTACTTTTAGAATTGGTTTACCTTTATTTCCACAAGCCGTAACAGACACACACACAAGCACACACACAGTTATTGACTCGGATATCTCCCTGCAGTGACTTGACACAAGATTGAATTGGTCTCTTTGATTTCCCAAGCAGTCTCTACCAATTAATCACAACTACCATCTTTCCAACCATCTCGCCAGCGCTCATCCACACGAGAGCAGTCAAATTCAGATTTCCCCAGTTTCCTGTTCACTTCATTATGAAGAAGACACAACCATTGGGAGAAGTTATTTCTGTTGCTAGTATCAGGCTGATTTGTACGCAATCTGCAAACAGGGAAGAGGAAACAAATGTTACTTCTTTACAGTCCCCCACTTCATATCCAAAGCAGGTACATAGCACACAGACAGCCAAAGTCTTCCCTTCTGCTATTTCAAGATGAGTCACAAAGAGAACCCTGAAGAAAGCACACAGAGATCGGTAATTATCACAGGTCAAACCTCCACTATAAAATACTGGTGGCTACAATTGGCTTGTTTCATTTGCTGCCTAGTCTTGTGAGCTGGTAAAGACACAGGAGTCAAAGAGCTTACATATGATAAAAAGCAAGAAGTACTTGAGTTCAACAAAACCACAAACTAAAAAAAAAAACACCAACCCAAAACCTGAGCAGTTGTTTTGCCATATGATGCCTGCTAAGGCAACAATTGGGTTTCAATATTTTCTTTGCATGTTTATAATCCAGAAAAGAGGAGTTGAATCTTTCAAGAAACGAGCTTTTCGAGAAGAAAACTTTATCCAACATCACAGCACATTTCCATCTTTGCCTCCACTGCTGAGGTTGCCAATAAAGGGGATTTTCTGGGGCTGAAGAACACTTGCCTCCTGAAAGCCACATTATTTCAAGTCTCAGACTAATTCCACATCTCAGCAAAAGTCCAGTTTGAACCAGAAAATCCTGAAATTGCCTCAGGGATGCCTTGGAGGCAGCACACAACCTAACATCATGAGAAAAAATATTTGTTTTTTGAGTAAGTGTATCTCTGGTTTATGCAATAATGGAAGAAACCAGTTCAGGTAGCAGCAAACCCCAAATGCAGGAAGAACTGCTGATATGCAAATAGCTGCTGCAGCTCAGCATTTCACTTTAGCCCCTTCAGCAGCAGCCACCAAAAAACCCCAATGAAGCAACTCACCTTGCCCTGAGATCCTCAGCACAGTGCTCGCAGGGGTAAAACTTGGAGAAAAGGTTGATGAACTCCCTCATCTCCTTCTGCTGGGCACTGGTGGGGTGGTCAGGGTAGTACGCAGCCATGGTGTGCAGGAATGCCCAGGTGTTGCGGCCCAGCTGCTCGCTGTCGAGGGGACAGTCCGGAGGTGGCTCTTTCTCCTCTGTGACTGTCAGCTCCTGAAGCAGGAGAAAGGGTTGTGAGGGGACCCCGGCGCTTGGTGGGGAAACAGCCCCGTTGCACTCAGGTGGGAGGATGAGGTGTGGGGGAACAGGCCCTTCACACCCGTAGCAGGGGGCAGCGGCTGAGCCCCCCTTCACACCCGTGGGGAGGAGTGGAGCCCACCTTCACACTCCCACAGAGGGGAAACCCTGCCCACCCTGAGGAGGGGGACACACGGCCCCACCACACCTGGGGGGCAGGATGGAGGGCCATTTCACAGCTCTGCAGGACTCCCCCAGGCTCCTGGGTGAC